GTACGTGATTAAATCGGTAGACATACAGTGCATCTTTTTATTTGTAAAATAAGATGTGCATGGTCCAGCTGAAAAACAAAAATTACATACCAGGGAAAGATAGGCGGTCGATGTTGGCTGGTAGCAGGTAGCCAAAAATCCCAAATATATTAATATTTGTGCATCATTTTAGTGTGGTCTGTTTATCCTCCTCATGCAAACCTTATGCTGGGATAAATAAGTAATTTGTGAATCAGACTGACACATTTATGAGGGGTCAAAGGAAAGCTGAAAGTTTTTCTTACTTGGAAAATATATTAGTGAGCTGAGAAAATGTACTTTTTTTATCTAGAGAAATAATAATGATTTCATTCTGCTATCATGTACTTGCTGTGATGCTATTTGACTGTTAGTGACCTAAAGTCTGGTTTTGAAGTCAGTACGGCCACATTGGCTGCTGCAGCTACACAGGAAAGCTTGGTTCAATAAAGTTGAAGGGATGTCAATATGGGCCTATTCCAAACGCCAGTGAAATCAATTGGAATATTTCTGCGGACTTCAGTGAGTTTTGGATCAGACTCTTACTGCAGAATTTAGCGCGATTGTATTTGATCCCGGGGGAAATGTTTCAATATAGTATTATATTGTACTATGTATAGCAGTGCTATTATATAGCATATAGTATAGTATGGTATAGCATATTTGGGATAGAAGCAAAAGGTGTTATAAAGCAGAACATAACTCTTGTGTACATTGATGTAGTTTTAAGTTCAAAATAGACAAAAATACTGGCTGTGGCATCAATCTTTTATTGAATGAGTTTCCATTCAAAACTCCTTCTGTAGCTCACTAAAATGAAGGGTTTTGATATTTACTGCATTTATTTGATTTTCGCTCATATTTGTACAGTTGGCTAAACTTCTCAAATCTAATCTTGCCAGCCTTTAAGCTCTTGAAGTCAATGGACTACTCATGTGCCTAGAGCTAAAAATGAGTGCAAAGTGTTTTTAGATAGGTTTCTGAAGAATATTCATATGTATTAATTGTGAATATTTTAATATCTAGAAGCTGTGGCTGGGATTTCCACCAGAGCTTAAGAGTACCTAACATATTAGTTACATGCTGGACACCTAATTTCTTCACTCCAGAGCTACAGAGAAAGACTTTGTGTTTTAGCTATGCCAAGAAAGTTCAAAAAGTACTTACATAATAATGTATTCCAAATCAGTAAAGGACATAAAGATGTTCACATTCTCAGAGGAGCTAGCAGACTGGCATTTTGACTTATTTTACTCAAAATGAGCTTGGATTAGAAAAGATCAGTTGTAGAAATTACTTTTAAGCTGGGCAACTTCTGAGCAAAATGGGATGAACTGTGGCACGTGCTGTGTTGATGGGGAGGTTGCTGCCACTCCTCACTGCTGCACTGCTGAAGGTTCCCACTGATCTGGTAGAGCAGCTTGCCTGTGCGCTCCCTAGCCCATTTCTGTCAAAATAAGTCAGATCGCAAAGACCTGCTATTTAAGCTGTCTGAAGCTTCTGGCATGTTTCCTGCAATTAAGCTGGCAAAGCTGGAACAGTTACTGCTCTAACTGCTTTCCCCTGCCCTAGAGGTTGTTGGCCCCATGGCAGGTACGGTGGAAGAAGTTGCGAGTCAGCTTCTGAATTGCCACTGGGAGCAGGCTAGGATGTAAGCATAGACTAGAATCAATGTTAAATCAAAATCAAAGAAGGGGCCAGCACTGCAGTTCACTCAGGCTAAAGAAAGCTCAAGGGTCTCCAAGTCCAAATAAGAATTTGAGGATCATCAGCCGTCTCTTAGTGTCCAGTTCAGGGAACTTTACCAGAACTGGGCCCTAATCGCCACTGAAATGAAAGTGGTTGTCTGGAATAAACCATCACAGTGATGGCATTGAACTTGCTATCAGATGTCACATAAATATGTCAGTGCCCCTTTTTGTCTAAAGTTTATTCTATAATCAAGCTTATGTTCAAAGTTGAATTTGCACTAGTAGTTCTTACAACTAACTGAATTGTTTGTAGAAGTAAGACAAAAGAGACTTTTGTGTTTAGACTGTATATTTGAATGTCTTGTAGTGCAAATTCCAAGTAAGTTGCCAACAAGGAAATAAAATACCATAATGAACTGCCAAGACCTACCAGAAAAATTCTGTGCATTCTATGTAAACATTTGAAAGCTATAATAAAGAAATGCATACCTATTTCTTTTTAAATTAGTTAATCAAAATCTATCTACTTAAGTCTTCGGTACCTATTTATTTCCTGTATAAGCTACTCTAATCTCAGGGAATAAGTGTGGGAAAAGAAAAGAATTTATAGTTCTGATCATACCAGCATTGGCTCTATGGTTTTGGACAAGCTTCCTGTATCTCCTTTTCTTGCATTTATAGAATAGGCCTCGATTCCACAAGTAGTTCAGTAGAATCAGGTTAAATAATTTCTTACTGCCAGTAAGACACTAATGACTTTTGCCACCTCAAGAGTAAGAAGAAAATAGCTCAGAAGTGCCCAAGCCCCTCTGCTGCAGTGTGGGACCTGGCCTGTTGCATTGAGGGACCAAGGTAGCCCCGGAGGATGGGGCTCAAAGGAGCCACTTCCGCACTGCCGGGGTTTCATCCTCATCAGCAGTCTGCTGCCTGCAGTGATTCCCTACTTGTCTCTGCCTGTGCTCATAGTCATGTGTCTCATTTTAAGCATTTAGGTAGCCCCACTTAAATGTCAAATGTTCTTAAGTGCTTTCTTAATTCAGAAGCTAAGCAAGTTATTGTTAGAAAGCCACTAGCAATGGGTGAGTTGCTGATAGTGTAACTATAAATACTGAGAAATAATATTGCTGTTTAATTTCTAGTGCTTCTGGTTCCCATATTGTTACTTCCACGCTTTCTTGTATTTTCTGAGGGTATCTCTAGTGTTTATAAATGGTGCTGACCTCACTAAGGGAATTGATAAAAAATTTAACATATCATCATCATAAAAATGTAGCTTCTAAGAATCCATCAGTGCTAAGGATGTTAAGGTAATTCTTTTCCTGAATATCAATACAGGATAGTCTTTATCAAAATTGAGATTGAATTTACATTTTACTGGTAAAGATAATGATGCAATGTATTTAAATTTAAAAACATCCCCAGCAAAGGAACAAGGAAAATGACTGACAGTTAACTATTAAGTCAATAATGTTTTTTTCTGTGAGTCAGTCTATTAATTATCATAAAGACTTACTTTCAGTCCAAATCCCTTTTTCATGTCTGAACTCCAGCAAATAGTGTTAAGACATCAAATATTTGTGAAATAACATTCTTTTAATTCAAAAAGACAAATTTAAACTGCAGTCATTTAGTTTTTCTGGAAGTGAGAAATTAGTCACAAAAGTGTTTAAAGCATTGTGTTATCTTGCAGTTCTCAGTACGTGCTTTGGGAGTCTTGGCTGCTTCACGCCCACTGGGAAAGCTGGGTTTTTTTGCTGGTTTCAAAATCTCCAGATAAAATTGACTTCAGGTGGTGCAGTGATTGCAGTCCTTGTAATATTCAGAGCTCCCTACAGCTGGGGAGTATATCATTGAACTTGGCTGTTAAAAATAATGTAAAAGATCGGCAAAGAGGATTTCCAGTGTTATTGTGGTAACTGACTGCAATGTAGTCCAAGAGCGGTGGATGATGACAAGGGACATTCTTTTACTCCAGCTCTTGGATTTGACAAAATCCAAAGGCACTATGGGCTACTGTAAGTTGTGCCAGACTCCCGATGGTCCAGCAGGGTCATTCTGGCAAGCAGGGGTATTTGGGCTATACTGATGCCTCTTCTGTATCCCCTGCCCTTAGCTACACACTTGCCTAACCACCCCAGGTGGGATGGCTCAGAACACTGATTGCAGGTATATGTTGTCCCAGACGCCATACAAGACCGTTTTGCCACATCCAAAGCAACTTTGTCTGGGAAAAGGGATCTGAAGCTGCCCTCGTGCACCTCAGCACGTCATCGTATGTTTCTGACTATTTCTAAAGCTACCTGTCGTAGCTACAAAGCAAGAAAGAGAACTTTTTGCATTCTATTTTCCTGCCTCCATCCTTTTCTCTTGCAAGTCTGAATTAATTAAAAGATCAAAAGCAATATGCATTTTTTGATATTGAAGATTCTTAGTCATCTCAAACTAAAAGCAAAGAACACATCTTGAAAATGATTCTGATATGGATCTTACTGGTTGCTTATTCCAGATTTTTAAAGGCAATTGTCACCTGCTGCCTTTTTAATGTAATTTCTTATGCCAGATAGAGTAATGGTAATTGCAGTATCAGATTGATAATACATATGTGTGTGAGCCAAGGAAACTACCTTTTTAATTTTCAGGCTGTGCTACCCTTGGAGTGGATCGAGGTGAAAACTTGTGCTCCCACTGGGAAGCAACAGGTATCGACTCATGGGAGGACTTTTCCCATTGTGTTAAGATTTTCCACCACTGCACTTGGTAGAAAAGAGGTCAACTCTGAGCATACATCATTTCCCACTTGACTGCCCAGCAAGAAGAGCTGGAGCTCAATAGGAGTTGTTCTCTCCTGAGCTTTGTGCTTTAACCTAATGCATGTATGTCGAGAAGTCGTGTTCCCCAACTTCTTTGGGTGGATACTGTTTAGGACAGTGAGACACAATCCTGTTAAAATTGCTGTCTCTTTCTATTCACTATTTTTCTGTATCAATGTATGAACCATTTTGTTTTTTCTGGGGAATGCATTGCCATATTTTTCTGAAATTATTAATAGCAGTTAAAAAGAAAGAGGAAACACGTTTAGTAGGTAGCATCATTCCTGTCTCTTTCTAGACTTGCTATGTTTCATAATCAAGGTTTTCTTTAAACAGACGTTTATTCTGCAGGAAAATACCTCACTTCTGGAGTATTTTTAGGCAAAATCAGTTAATAGGAATATTGTGAAAACAGAGATTAATGCACTCATCTTATCACTGGATGCTGGTTCCTGCTATTTTTTGCATGTTGAGAACGTCCATAAAGCATCCATTATGGGCCTGAGCTCGTTTCCATTAAAGTGAATGGAAGTTTCACCCTTTGATTTTTTTTAACAGATTTCCTTTGGAATCAAGCCCCAATTCAGGCTTTTGCCAGCTGGTTAACTTTCATCACAAAAGTAATTCAGCAAATGGAATTATTCATGTGCTTAAAACAGACCATGCACTCAAGTTTTTTATAGGAGGCATCCTGAGGCATAGCGTCTCGTACAGCACAACAACAGTTTATAGTCAATGGACTGGAATAGCTGCAGTCTGAATGGCACTTCCTCAGCTGCAGCGTGAACCAAGCTTTTGTATTCATTTGCACCTGCGCTTCCTACTCAACAGTTCAGATGAAAATATCCCATTCCTAACTCCTTCCCTGACATTGCCCAAGTGGCAGGAAGAATTATTTGAGATGAATTCCTTGGTTTTTAAATTGATTTTGTGTCCCGTAGGTTTCCTCCGTAAAGTGGGGATAATCCGCATGAGGATGCAAAAATGTAACAGTTAATGCCGGCAGTAAGCTCTGAAGATAAGTACCTTGTAAGTCCTAAGAATATCTGTTACTCAAAAAAAGTCCGCTCTGGCTGATCTGCAAGTGCTATCGGTAGAATTATGGGACCTGTGAAACTTATGTATTGTATTTTTCTAGAAAGAGAGTGGAGGAATTGGCATCTAACACAATTCAAAAGGTGAGAACAAGCCCTCAAAAAGAAAATAAAGCTCTTCTGACTTTTAGAAATCTTTATAAACGTCATTTAGTGTCATTTTCAAATACCTTGAAGGGATTGTAAAACTTTTGCTCTTCTCTGATCATTGCACCACTTAGAAGAGGAAAGGTATGAACAGCCATAACCCTGGCACATTTTTAACAATACTCAGGACCAAAGGGGATTGTAAGATGGAAGCTTTGATAACAAAAACATAAAGATGTCATTGTCAAGTATCTCAAAATATACATGCTTGTTGTAAATGTCACATAAGCCTACAGCTAAGTGATGGATCACCGTGTCCTGTTTTTTCCAAGTACTCCGATTGATGAATACTTTAACTCTTTCATGAACTAGTGACTGTGTCCCACAAGTTGCTTTCTGTCGTTGTGCTTAGCATCAGTAAAACAAAAACCTTATTTATTATGATTCAGTTGCAAACACAGCTTAGCATTTCAGTTCTATTCTGCATAGAGGAAAAATACTCGGAAAGCATTTGGAAAAAAACAGACATAATGTCATAGATCACTTTATTAGCAGTAGTATGAAATCTTTCCTGTTCATTAAAACAATAAAAGTGGTAGTAAATGGCATGCTAAACTTAGTATTAGAGAGCTAAGGACTAGCTCGTGCCCCAATATAGACCATGATTCAGCAGAGCACTTAAGCATACGGTTAAAATTAAATATTTGTTTGAAAGCATTCTCAAGCAAGCTCAGCTCAGCATGCAATAGAATGAAAGGTATATGACACTCTTAAGAGCAGCAAGTAAGACAGGATAGATTTGACCTGTTAAGCCCTAATCCTGTGATTACTTTTGTATTTGCTTGTGTCTTCCACCAGGCTGGAAACTATTTCTGACAGTGACATTCTTGATTGCAGGGTCAGGCCCTTGTGGGGAGCTGGAGGTCAACACCAGGCTGCAGCATGCTGCCACATGCAGTCTCTCGCCAGGTGACCTGGAGAACATGCTGCTTGCTTTTCTGCCTCATCAGGTAAGTCAGATGCACTCCCTAGACAATGGGAGAGATGATAAAAACATTTTTTAAATCTGTTTGTCTACACTGATTCTGGGCCTTGTCACTGCTTCTTCATCTCAGCCATCTTTTCTACACCTATCTTTACCAAGAGTAAGAGCCACCAATCCCCTCTGCTTGTGCAGTTTGTTCAGTTAAACTTGTATATTCCTGTGGTTTTGGCAGAACCATTGGACTTTTCTTTGAGTTTAGAGAGGTCTATAATACTTAAATGGCTTGTTATTGAATAGAAGCAAAATAATCATCTTTCAGTAGAGTTGCAGGTGCAGAATACAGGAACCATGCCTTGCCAAAATTTAATAAAGTGCATTAGGTTTTTGGAAAGAAACTTCATCGCATATTAAAATCTGTAATCTCAATAAATTAAAAGATAATTTGAAGATTACAGGCTGGTGGGTAGCCTAGCTCAACAGTTAAAAATCTGTTCTACAAATTGCAAGTTATTAATAATTAGTATTACAAAACCTATTACATCTTTGATTGAGGGGAAATGGACTGAGGCTAGTATTCCATTATTCAATTAGATTTAATTCTATTTTGTATGTATTTTACTTTATTTCAAGTGCAACCTGTAAAAGGATCGTGGTAGCATCCGTCCAAAACATCAATCAATTTGTATATAGAGCAAATAGCACACATAATAATTTCATCATATATTGCAGCTCTGTTGACTGACAGTGGAATTGCTGCTATCACCATGGTTAATTGGATTTCTTTATGCGTTGTACAGCAGCATTACAGACAATTATTTATAAATGAGTTTATTAAAGTTACTATATTCGTATAGCGAAAGCTTGTTAAACTCTGTTTCTTCAATGTTTATGTTCTCACCTTTGCATACTTTTCCTCTTCAAGGAAACGTAACATGAAGTAAAATCCTAAGGCAGAGCAGTCCATGAGTTAGTGGATCAAGTTAAAAGGTTTGCAAACATCTCAGGGGTCAATGTGATCTAATAACTAGTGGAGAGATTTCTAACAACCTTCTCTTCTCTAGGATTTTATTTTATGGTAGCTAACTTGAGTTACAGACATTCCCAAGTTATATATAGTAGTCATACTGATCTGAGCAGTACAGAAGTTCAATATTTATTTCCCAATTTGTTGCAATTTCCACCACAATTCATTCAGTCTGTTGTCATTGCAATAATTCTAGCTTTGCATTTATTTCCCACATTTCCTCTTCTGTTTCTTTTGCTTACTGTACACCCGTTAGGAATTCCTTGGCGTTATGATCTTGCCGTTGCTTGGGTTTTTTTCTTCCTGAGACAGCATTTGCCCTGTCAAGGAAGCCACTTCATAACGGGCAGATATCCACCTTACTCATGGTAGTGCTTGAGTACATGTTTAACTTTAAGCATGCATATGTGTGCCATTGGTTTTCAGTGGAATTTAAGTACATATTTATGTAATACAGTGAGCAGGGAGGGCTAAATACAACCTCTTCTTTTCTTTGCTTTTCTCCACCTTTAAAGGTGTCGTTCTTTACCCCGAATATTCTATATGCTGCTCCCACATTTATTACAACCACCTTCCCTGCGATAATGATGCACCTTTTGTTCTGACATCTCATCTCTATTAGACTAAAGATTTAAATTCCTCCCCCATTTCTCCCCTTTATCTGCTTTGAGCTATCAAGTTTTGTTTGCTCTTCTATTTTGAAATAACAAATCCCAATTATATAAAACCAGTTTATTCCAAAAAGAAACTTAATGTGCCATAAAACTAACTTGTTCTCAAGGTGCTCAATAAGCTGATGCAGCACAGAGACTATATTTATATGGCAGTATTGTTATATGAAATACTATATGTAATGTGTCTTGCAGTACTTGCATATTATGTAAAATCATCTGTTTTAGAACTAGACAGTAGATCACTAGACAATCCCTTTATCAATAAGAATGTCCATCCAAAAGTAAACTTCAAGGGTAGGAGAGATATCTTTAAGATGTCTAGTAGTGAAATCTCCTTGGAAATTCTGCCTGCCAACTGCTACTTTGTCTGAACTGAACAGTTCAGACACATTAAACAAAAAGGAATTGTCCAACAATTTTAAGTTGCATCTATTTATTTCAGTCATTTTCCCTTGTGCAAAGCCTTATTACATAATCTCGCTGGTGAATTTTCCCCAGAGATCCAGGAGCACGTGCAGTGGTTGGTAGTTGTAGATGTAGTCAGGCATTAGTTTGAAATCATTGTATTATGAAGAAGGCTGTATAACAATTGAACTGAGCTGTAGTGACAAAAATTGGTAAGGCAGGGGACAAACAGAAGAGGAAGTAACTCATTCCTCTACTAGCCACACATATTAATAGTAGAGTAAATGAAACATTTCTATATTTAGCCTGCTCAAAAAAAAAAAAAAAGCAGCAGCAGAGGCAGAGGATTTAGTAACCATAATGGGAACATTTTTCAGTGAGTCATGCATCCAAATCTCTTGCTTCTGATTCAGCACTCCTGTTTTCATTTTGTCCTCTATATTAAATGTTTCATGCATGGAGTGATTCAGCAAGCTGCGAAGTCACCCTTACAGACTGCCTTCTGAAAGAGAATTGGTGACATATTTTTTGTTACTAAATTTGTTGTAAAGACTTGGACCATATAGCAGATCTTTGGAAGTAAGTCCTGTCTTCGTGCTAACTGATAAATGTCTGCTATAGTATAGCACTGTAGAGTGCTAGAGCTTTTGACTCAAGAAAAGTTGTTCAAGGTGGCAGATATCTACAGAGGACTAAGAAATTCCACAGTTAACGTATTACTTGCAGATTCCCGTTAGCCTCAGAAGGAATTTTACCTACAGAATCACCAAGAGTTCAAACTCTTACTGAAATGTCTACAGTCAAGGTGGTGTTCATTTTTCTGTGCTGGGAAACAGTTTAGATGTGAGGACAGTGTTCATCACACACCGCACCAGATCCACAAAGACGTTTTAGGCGCTTAATTCTTGCTGGGTCATGGAGCTGGCTGGCTGCAACTACTAAAGCTCACACCCATTTTTCGTTTATCATCAAAACACAGATTTTCAGAAATACAAACGTAAATCATATATCTCGTATTCTTGCCTTAGACTAGATGGGCTAGTACACGTTATAACGCACTTTAGTCTGTGAATCTTAATGTGTGTCTTTCAAGTTTTATGAATACCAGTAACTGTGAAATGAGCAAAATTCTCCTTGTACAAAGTATGCAGCTGGGTCCTTTATTTTTCACATGTGTAAATGCAGCTTTGGGCACACAAAATGGGTATGTGAAAGAGGGTATTTTTTTCATTACCTGTATAGTTCATACTCCTTAAATACATCTTAGTAGGTGTACAAATTATATGTTGCTTGAACAAAGTTAAATCTGAATAGAATTGTTGTTTTTTCAGACTTTTTTTATTGCTAGCTGTTCCTCACTAGATTACTTCATGGACATGCTTCATGAATGGTGTAGTATTAAAAGATGTATATGCAAAGCATATGGCATATGCATACTTTAATGCACTATGAGATCTATGGCCAATTAGAATAAAAAACTACCAGCACCTGAAGAACAGAGATACTTCTGTGAAGCTGCAGTAGCCCAGATCTGATTGTTTAGTCCTAAAATGGAATATGTGTACACATTATCAGAAATCTCCCTCTAAAAATATTATACCTTCTTAACTTCAGTTATATGGGCAGCTGCATCTAAGAAAAAGGCACCGAGCAAGTACAGACGAAATTTGTTCCCAAAACTGCACCTATGTTCTTTGTTCTTATGTAGAAAGCAAGCTTTGGAAAAGGGAACTTAGGAACTCACAGTGAACTGGGAGACAGGAAGAAGATTTTTATCTCTTCGTATGGTATGAGCTTTACCTTAATACTCCACTTTATCCTGAAGTTTCTTTTAAACAGTAGCCTTTCAACAATACACTTCTCTTCAGCTTTTAAATTTAATCTCAAATATTCATTAACGTTTGGGAGGCCACTTTCAAAAGGCCAAATATTGCATAGGGACAACTGGAACAACGGGTGTGGAACAGCCCACGTACAGAAACAGCAGAAGAGAAGCACCCTTATGATTTTTCGTAGCATGATAATTAATTACCTTGTTCTTTAGCAGAACGGTCAGATATGAGGCTTTAGATGCTGCAGGGAGCAAAGCGTTCACATGCATTATATTCGCATCACAAAAATATATTTCTATTACTATGCCTTGTAGAATTCATGCCCTTCACACTTGAATCTGAATCCTCTTGCCTATAGATATTTAAAACACAGTTACAACTAATAGGCTTCTAGCACAAGGTCTTATTCTTCCTTAGAATGGAACGGCAAATAGGAAGGGAGAGAACTCTAACTTTTTTCATCAGATAAACCTACTTTGCAGAACCATCCTGATTTTTCCTATCATGGCCTTTTTTGCTCTGTTTGTGTGTAGTTGTCCTTTATTAAAGTAAGCTTTATTTCTTGTGCCAAATCAAAGGCTCTCTGTGTGATAGGCTCTGATGTACAAAACCAACATGGTTGCGCCACACTATCATCTGTCACTGCTTTAAGAAATGTGACTGCCCCTGCGGAAATTGGAAGTCCCATTCCTTTGACCTGTATGGCCCTGACAAGTACTTACTTAGTTTGTGTTCTGTCTTCTGTTAGCATTAACTCTTGCTCATGGACTTTTCTTGTGAAAATAGACATAAGCTGTGTTCATATGGACTTCTTTATATGAATATCCAGGAAGGAATGTAAAATACACTGAAGTGTGTATACACAGAAGAGTGTGATGACAGGGCACACCCTAATTTGTGAATCATCTTTCTGCCACCTGGTGGAGGTGGTCTGGTCCCCAGCTAGGGGAAATGTATACTCTCCTAGAGATGCTTATCCTTAAATTGACCTTTTCCATACACCAGGAGATGTACTCCTCCTTGTCATTGCTTAAATCTTTGAGGCATGTCATGCCAAGGGGCTGACTCAATAGCAGTCAGCTTCCTGAAA